CAAATTCAAATTGGTTTTCAAATGTGTTTTCGAATTTTAATTTGTTTTGGAATGTGTTTTCGAATTTGAATCAATATGAATTTCGGGCAAATTTTGTTTTGCTATTTCAGATTCGTTTAAATTCGTTACTGTTGTAATTCTGAATTCGGATACATCCAAATAACGGAAAATTCATCTGAATTTCGATTCGGAAAAAATGAACTTCACATGTCTAGTTTTCATCCTATCTATCCCTCTGCACCTTTAGTGTCATTTACAACTCTGCTTCCTCTTCTCCTCTTCCTTTCTCTGTTGGGGTGCCCCAAGGTTCTGTTTTTGGTCCTCTCCTATTCTTGATCTGCAACTCCTCCCTGGGTGAAGTAATAGCCCATGGATTCCAAAACCATTTCTACACTGATGACACCCAAATCTATCTCTCTACCCATCACCTCAGCTCACTCCATCAGTCTCCACACAAATCACTAATTTACTAACAGACATATCAGACTGGATGTCACACCACTTCCTCATACTCAATCTACTCAAAACCGAGCTCATAATAAAGTATGTCCTCCCCATGTGCCCCTTCCCCTGACTTCTCTGTCAAGATTTACGGCTCAACTATCAACCAATCCCCGCGTGCCAAGGTGCTACATGTAATCCTGGACTCTGAACTCTCTTTTTGGTCCCACATCCAATCAATGTACAAAGCCTGCTGCCTCAACCTCCACAACATCTCTAAAATACACCTCTCCCTAGCCAATGATACCACAAAGCTCCTAGTCCACTCCCTTGTCACCTCTCACCTTGACTACTGCAACTCCCTCCTCACTGGCTTACCTTTACATAGGTTATCCCCCCTTCAGTCCATCATGTGTACTGCTGCCAGACTCATCCACCTTACCAACCACTTTGTATCCCTCTCTGCCGATCCCTCCACTGGCTTCCACTTACCCAACAAATTAAATTCAAAATACTAACTACAACTTACAAAGCCATCCACAACTCTGTCCCCAGCTGCATCATTAACCTAGTCTCAAAATACCAACCTAATTGTTCTCTTTGTTCCTCTAGAGACCTCCTGCTCTCTAGCTCCCTTGTTACCTTCTCCCATGCTCGCCTCCAGGACTTCTCCCGAGCTTCTCCCATCCTCTGGAATGCCCCACACCACTCTGTCGGACTATCTTCTACTCTGTCTATCTCTTCACGAAGCCTATCCCACCTTCACTAACTTTTATTTTCTCCATCGACTCATCCCCCACAATTATTACCTTTTGTATCTCTTAACCCTCCCTTTTAGATTGTAAGCTCTAGCAGGACCTTCTGATTCCTACTGTATTAAATTGTATTGTAGTTATACTTTAATTATTATTATTATTATTTTGCAGGATTTACATTGTTATGCCAACAGTGCTTTAGAACGTAAGGGCAAACAGTACAGTTACAATACAATTCAATACAGGAGGAAACAGAGGGCCCTGCTTGTTAGAGCTTACAATCTAAAAGGGAAGGGTCAAGTGATACAAAAAGTAATAACTGTGGGGTGTGAGCTGATGGAGAAAATATATGTACAGTTGTTAGGTGTCTGCCCTTATTTTTTACTGTCTGCCCTTATGTTATAAAGAGCTGCATAATCACATGACTGGATAACTGATGTGAATCTTTACACATTTTATTGTCTCAAATAATTGTAAATCAGCCTCAAAGTACAGGCGTACCTCGGTTTATGAACGCCTCGGTTAATGTAGTTTTTGGTTTACAAATGAAAATCCTTTGAAAATAATGCCTCGGTTTACTAATTGTTTTCGCAATACGAAGCAAATTTCCCCAGGATGCTTTGCGCCTTGGCGGTTTATAGCACCGGCCCCATGCTTTTAATGTGCACTATATAAAGAGTTTTGAACAGATAAGACTTTTTAAAAACTTTTTTCTGACCTCCAGAGTGGATTGTTTTCAATGCATTTATGATTTTTTTCACAATACGGAATTTCCCCAGGATGAATTGTGCCTGGGAGGTTTATAGCACCGGCCCCATGCATGCTGGAGTCTGTGTGTAGCACGTGGCATCGAGAATGGAGGTGTTGGAGCAGTTTTTGCATTGAGTTTTGGAGCCATTCTGGAAATTTTTTAACATGTCCCTGTACAGTATTTATGCCTTTAAAGTGCACTTTATAAAGAGTTTTGAACAGATAATATACTTTTTTTTTTACTTTTTTCTGACCTCCAGAATGGATTAATTGGTTTTCAATGCATTCCTATGGGAAACCAAGTTTCGGTTTACAAATTTTTCACAATACGAAATGTCCCCGAGAACACATTAAATTTGTAAACCGAGGTACGACTGTATCTACTAATTTGCCAGGCATCCAGGACAAGTCCTGTAGATGTTCAGTGCTTCCCAATTTAAACATGTTTTGTATCAGCAAAGCTAGATGTGACATTGCTTCCAATACAATATAAAGATAAAAAATGGAAAATGAAAGTGAGTCCCAATTCCAAGAAATTGAAAATATCAAAGGTTCAAACGTGAATCTACAATTGCTAGATGACCAAACGTTATCTGTCTGAAACAGGTATCACCCCACTCCGTGCTCAAAGAAGGCTTGTATCTGACCATCATGTTATAGAGTGGTCAAAATCAGCTCAAGAATGATCATTAACCCCTTTGCGCCGGTGCCTCCAGGCCCTTTAAGGGTTTCAGAAGCCGGGAGGCGGAGCGGGGTTTAGGGTCATGTAACCGCTGTGACACGCCGTCACAGCGGTCACATGATCAGGAAAGGTCCCTGTCAGGGCTCCAGGGTATGACCAGAGGTATGTGAACTGACGCAGGGAAACGCAGGCTTCAGATATGATATAAACAATATAATTTATTAACACTAACAATACATAAACGCAGTGCAATACTAAAACATAACACAGTGCAAACGAACCAAACCAAACCACCCACAGATAACAATACATACAATGCAAGCGTCGTCAGGCAGGCCGGGTCAATAACAATCGGGCAGGTAGGAACAGGGGGTCAGGCAGAGAATGGTCAGGGTCACAAGCCAGGGATAAAACAGGAGAAGTCAGCAGAGGTCCGGATCAGGCAGGGTCAGCAACGAATCAGTCAGACAGAGACAGGGACAGGGACAGGGATGCAGGTAACAAGATACAGGGCCCAGGAAAAACACACACCAAGGCAGAGACTGCAGGTCTGGCCATCCCTTAAATACACCTGCATAATCAGCTTCAGGTGTTTGGCTGGCTGCAGGGTTGAGTCTCTGATTGCTGGGAGCACCTGCTGGCCAGCCCTGGTACTGCAGCCCACAAGGCAGGTGAGTCCCACCATTACTGGCAAGTCCATTCCTGACAGTACCCCCCCTCAATGAGCGGCCTCAGGACGCTCCAAACAGTCCTAGCTGGGCAAAATGTTCCACCGCCCGGGTCTGGTAACTGGCGGGATATCAAAGACTGGCACATCAGGCAGGACTCCGGGCAGCGGCACATCGGGCAGGACTCCGGGCAGCGGCACACCGGGCACAGGCACATCGGGCTGGACTCCGGGCACAGGCACATCGGGCTGGACTCCGGGCACAGGCACATCGGGCTGGACTCCGGGCAGCGGCACATCGGGCAGGACTCCGGGCACAGGCACACCAGGCAGGACTCCGGGCACAGGCACACCGAGCTGGACTCCGGGCACAGGCACACAGAGCTGGACTCCGGGCACAGGCACACCGAGCTGGACTCCAGGCACAGGCACACCGGGCTGGACTCCGGGCACAGGCACACCGGGCTGGACTCCGGGCACAGGCACACCGGGCTGGACTCCGGGCACAGGCACATCAGGCTGGACTCCGGGCACAGGCACATCGGGCAGGACTCCGGGCACAGGCACATCGGGCAGGACTCCGGGCAGGGCACATCGGGCAGGACTCCCGGGACAGCGGCACATCGGGCAGAACTCCGGGCACCAGCACATCGGGCAGGACTCCGGGCAGAGGCACATGGGTCAGGACTCCGGGCAGAGGCACATGGGGCAGGACTCCGGGCAGAGGCACATCGGGCAGGACTCCGGGCAACGGCACACCGGGCTGGACTCCGGGCACAGGCACATCGGGCTGGACTCCGGGCAGCGGCACACCGGGCAGGACTCCAGGCAGCGGCACACCGGGCAGGACTCCGGGCAGCGGCACACCGGGCAGGACTCCGGGCACAGGCACACCAGGCAGGACTCCGGGCACAGGCACACCAGAGCTGGACTCCGGGCACAGGCACACAGAGCTGGACTCCGGGCACAGGCACACCGAGCTGGACTCCGGGCAGGCACACCGAGCTGGGCACACAGGCACACCGGGCTGGACTCCGGGCACAGGCACACCGGGCTGGACTCCGGGCACAGGCATATCAGGCTGGACTCCGGGGCACAGGCACATCGGGCAGGACTCCGGGCACAGGCACATTGGGCAGGACTCCGGGCAGCGGCACATCGGGCAGGACTCCGGGCAGCGGCACATCGGGCAGGACTCCGGGCACCGGCACATCGGGCAGGACTCCGGGCACCAGCCCATCGGGCAGGACTCCGAGCAGAGGCACATGGGTCAGGACTCCGGGCAGAGGCACATCGGGCAGGACTCCGGGCAGCGGCACATCGGGCAGGACTCCGGGCAGGACTCCGGGCAGAGGCACATCGAGCTGGACTCCGGGCAGAGGCACATCGGGCTGGACACCGGATCACCAGGCGGAGCAGCAGGCATCGGGCCACCAGGCGGAGCGACAGGCATCGGGCCCCCAGGCAGGGTGGCGGGCGCCGGGCCCCCAGGCGGAGCGGCGGGCACTGGGCCCCCAGGAGGGGCGACAGGCATCGGGCCCCCAGGCGGAGCGACAGGCATCGGGCCCCCAGGCGGAGCGGCGGGCGCCAGGCCCCCAGGAGGGGCGACAGGCATTCGGGCCCCCAGGTGGAGCGACAGGCATCGGGCCCCCAGGGGGAGCGACAGGTGTCGGGCCCCCAGGCGGAGCGACAGGCATCGGGCCCCCAGGCGGGGCGACAGGCATCAGGCCCCCAGGCGGGGCGACAGGCATCGGGCCCCCAGGCGGAGCGGCGGGCACCGGGCCCTCAGGCAGAGCGGCGGGCACCGGGCCCTCAGGCAGAGCGGCAGGCACCGGGCCCCCAGGAGGGGCGGCAGGCACCGGGCCCCCGGGCGGAGCGACAGGCATCGGGCCCCCAGGCGGAGCGACGGACGCCGGGCCCCCAGGCGGAGCGGCGGGGTGCCGGCCCCCAGGAGGGGCGACAGGCACCGGGCCCCCGGGCGGAGCGACAGGCATCGGGCCCCCAGGCGGAGCGATGGGCGATCGGGCCCCCAGGCGGAGCGGTGGGCGCCGGGCCCCCAGGCGGAGCGCCGGGCGCCGGGCCCTCAGGCGGAGTGGCGGGCGCCGGGCCCTCAGGCGGAGCGGCAGGGCACCGGGTCATCAGGCACGACAACGGGCATCGGGTCACCAGGCATCAGGTCATTTGGCTCGCCAGCGGGCACCGCGTCATCTGGCAAGGCAGTGGGCACCGAGTCACCAGGCACGACAGTGGGTTCCGAGTCAACTGGCATGACCACGGGCACTGGGTCAGACATTGGATCGTCTGGCTCGACAGCGGGCATCGGGTCACCAGGCATCAGGTCATTTGGCTCGACAGCGGGCACCGCATCATCTGGCAAGGCAGTGGGCACCGAGTCACCAGGCACGACAGTGGGCTCTGAGTCAATTGGCACGACAGCGGGCACCGGGTCATCAGGTACCGGATCGTCTGGATCGACAGCGGGCACCGGGTCATCTGGCGTTGGATCGTCTGGCTCGACAGCGGGCATCGGGTCACCAGGCATGACAGCGGGCACTGGGTCACCAGGCATCAGGTCATTTGGCTCACCAGCGGGCACCGCGTCATCTGGCAAGGCAGTGGGCACCGAGTCACCAGGCACGACAGTGGGCTCTGAGTCAACTGGCATGACCGCGGGCACTGGGTCAGACATTGGATCGTCTGGCCCGACAGCGGGCATCGGGTCACCAGGCATGACAGCGGGCACTGGGTCATCAGGCATGGGATTGTCTGGCTCGACAGCGGGCATTGGGTCACCAGGTATGACAGCGGGCACTGGGTCACCAGGCATCAGGTCATTTGGCTCGCCAGCGGGCACCGCGTCATCTGGCAAGGCAGTGGGCACCGAGCCACCAGGCACGACAGTGGGCTCCGAGTCAACTGGCATGACCGCGGGCACTGGGTCAGACATTGGATCGTCTGGCCCGACAGCGGGCATCGGGTCACCAGGCATGACAGCGGGCACTGGGTCATCAGGCATTGGATCGTCTGGCTCGACAGCGGGCATCGGGTCAACTGGCCTAATGCAATCATCAGGCTGGATCAGTTTCATCAGGCTGGGTAGAAACATCATGCTGGGTAGAGGCATCAGGCTGAATGGAGGCATCAGGCTGAATGGAGGCATCAGGCTGGGTAGAGGCATCAGGCTGAATGGAGGCATCAGGCTGGGTAGAGGCATCAGGCTGGGTAGAGGCATCAGGCTGGGTAGAGGCATCAGGCTGAATTGTGGGCGCCGAGGCACCAGGCTGCACCACGGAAGGCAGGTTCTCAGATGGGAGGCTGACCGGTTTGGATACTGGCAGGATGGTATTGGTTGGAAAGAACTTTCGCCTTTTCCTGGTTTTAGTTACCGAAGCACTGTAAGAAAGCGCAGGTTTGTAAATGGATGGAGCAGCTGGAGACAGAGAAGAGCTGGAGGATGGAACAGGGGAGGGAACAGTTGCTACAGAGGGCTTCTTTACAGGGTTAAAGACAGGATAGGTGCAGCGAGTGGGAACAGGGTACTGACATGCGGTAGATAGCAGGGTATACTGGGCTGTAACTGGAGGTGCTGTTGGGAATGCAGGAATAGAGCTTTGAAGAAATAGATTAGAAGCAGGACTGGGTTTTTGCAAGCTGACTGAGGCTGGGTGCAACAAGTCTGACCATGTCTGCAGTATGGGTTGAACAAAGCTCAGCTTACACAAAGCCTGTCTGACCAAAGACTGCACTGTGTTTATACAATCCCTTAATACCTGTGGTGAACATGCAGCATAATGCTCCAAGAAGCAATCCACATCATCCTCTAATAACCATACCAGGGACTCTACCTGGTCTGCACTAAATGGTGGCAAAAAGTCATTCCTGCTTTCAGGGGTACCAGATGAAGCCAACTCTACACAAACCTAAATCAATGGCTGCACCTCAGAGAACTCTGTGCCCTGATCTACTAGAACATGAGCGATCCGTATACATTCTAGCAGTTGATCCCTCAGAGCCTGATAAGCATATTCTCTGTCATCAAAAACCAGCAGCGACAAATACACAACCTCATCAAGATCCATCCTTCCCAGCAACAAGCCAAGATGGCTTCCCTGTGCAGCCACTTCTGGTCAGGATTGGCCTTGGTGTAATGTCAGGGCTCCAGGGTATGACCAGAGGTATGTGAACTGACGCAGGAAAACGCAGGCTTCAGATATGTTATAAACAATATAATTCATTAACACTAACAATACATAAACGCAGTGCAATACTAAAACATAATACAGTGCAAACGAACCAAACCAAATCACCCACAGATAACAATACATACAATGCAAGCATTGTCAGGCAGGCCGGGTCAATAACAATCGGGCAGGTAGGGAACAGGGGGTCAGGCAGAGAATGGTCGGGGTCACAAGCCAGGGATAAAACAGGAGAAGTCAGCAGAGGTCCGGATCAGGCAGGGTCAGCAACGAATCAGTCAGACAGAGACAGGGACAGGGACAGGGATGCAGGTAACAAGATACAGGGCCCAGGAAAAACACACACCAAGGCAGAGACTGCAGGTCTGGCCATCCCTTAAATACACCTGCATAATCAGCTTCAGGTGTTTGGCTGGCTGCAGGGTTGAGTCTCTGATTGCTGGGAGCACCCGCTGGCCAGCCCTGGTACTGCAGCCCACAAGGCAGGTGAGTCCCACCATTACTGGCAAGTCCATTCCTGACAGTCCCGATCAAAAGAGGAGATTGGGACCTTTCTGTGAGTACTGAACATGTGTGCTGGGAGTGCGCAGGGCACGCGCTCTCAGCACATATGTTCTTTTTTAATAGAACGCAAATGTGCGGCCGCTCGGCGTCTAGGCCCAGACGCTGGGAGGCCACACATTTGCATTTGGCAGGCTTGAAGAGGTTAAGCAACTACTCCAACCAAATAACGTTTGCCCACTCCGTATTGACCATCAATGTATGCATTGTCAGGCATAAAAGTGGCATGTGCATGAAATGAGAAATCTTCCCATAGTGTAAAATCACTTAAAAAGGTTTATTAAATCAAAGAAATGCACTTGCATGCTTCAAGATCAAATACAGTGCTGTGTGTCTAAAACCATCTACATGTTCCCACTTCCGAGCATACACGTATGCATGGTGACATACGCCCGAGCTCCACCCGACGAGTTTCATCACAAATTATGTCATCAGGGATAAAAGGTGTAAGTCCGCCACCACGCACTTATATAAGGGAAATCACGGAGAGAGGACCGGCATTGATTGGTCACACTCGCTCAATCATCACTAGTTGCTGTGAGACAACTTTAAACAACATTATCAACTAGATACAGATAAGACTGGATCATTTATCATGATTTTTGTGCAATGTCTTTGTCCTCCTATTGGTGTGCTCTCTTATCTGTATCTAGTATTGAGCTTAGTTTTGTGATTTTATTAGGAGTTAAGTACTTGGATAGGGTCTAGGGGTATATGGGATGCCCAAGGAACTGTATAACCTGAGGACAACATCTCAGCAACTACCTGTATGTACAAAAAAAGTGGATCAGCAACAGTCTCTCTTGAGGAGCACTAACGCCCTTTCGGTGTGCCTCCTCAGACCCTGGATGATTCCTTCTCTACACTCAGCTGCACTGAGGATATTCCTGGGCAAGGGGCCCCAAGAGCTGCGAATGGCACAGTCCAGATGAGGAGCTAGTAAGGTATTACACCTGAGTGCCCTCTGCCCTTATCTGGCCTAGGGAGTGTAAGAGTACTCATACTGTCCTTTCCTGTCAGCTTAGTGAGTTGGTGACTACCTTCAGGCCTTACACTGGGCTGGCTCTTTCCCTACTACACAGGCTGTCCTCCCCAGAAGACATTGAGGTAGTAGAGATCTTCTTGTCCAGCAACCAGCCTGTAGGTAGGCTTCCCTCCCTGGGGCCCCCTCCCAGGCTCCACACTCCAGTCTTCCTAAATCTTTCACACGACACTGCCCTGCTGCACAGGCTCTGCCACTTTTAAGGGTTCTTTTGGTCACCATGCCCAGCCTCCTGCCAGGGGACTTGCCAAGGTCCCTCAAACATGTAGATCTGGACCTCCTTCATGCCTCCTCTCCTATTCCACAAAGTTTCCAAGTTTCTGGAAAAGTGGAAGGGTTCCAGAAGTCCTGACCTGTTAGAGCCTCCCAGCCTGCCCTGAGGTGACCTTACTACCTCACTCCCAGGCTGACTCATCCCAGGCTGCTATGCAGCCTCTATCTAAAAAAAAACAACAAACAAACAGCCTGTCTAGCTAACCCGGAGGGCATTACATTTAATTATCTATATTCTTTGATGGGTTCTGGATTACTAGTAGCGTAGCTTTTTCCCCCCACTTTGGAGGGATTTCAACTGCACAGTTGGACCAATAACATGGGCTACAGAGGTGCTATTAACAAAACCACTTATTAAGGTCACCTGAAAACTGGTTCAAGAGGCAAAGTCTATACCTTCTTGGCCCTGATTTAAGGGGTGTGTTGGTGGTCAGCATTAGTGCTCAAGACATATAGAGCTCTAAACTCTAAACAGAGTTTTTTGCAACTCCAATGAGAAAGGAGGAATACTCCTCAGAGAATCATTTGGGGCTCCTAAAAAGGGGCGATGTTGTCTTTTTAAGTGGGAGTATAGCAAAGACAATGGTCAAAGCCCCCTCACCACTCTGAACTATGTCGCAAAGTATCCTTCCTCAGGATACATGAGCAGGCTACCTCTTGTGTTCTCTGAGAGTGATGGCAGTAGTCCTGCACATATTACCATGACCCCAGAAGAAGCAGCAGATGTGCTGGGTTGAGTTGTCCTCTCTCGCAGCTTGTTGGGCTTTGCAGTCCTAGAGCAGTGCAGGTCTAGACAACACAGCTTCAGCAACGTCCCAGCTGAGCAAGGAAACCAAAAACAGTTTTTTGCCAAACTTGGATCATCGTCCTTCACCTGCAGCCTCATGGCAGCAGCAGTCTCATGCAGCGATACAGCATTCAGCAGCTCTAGGAGCTTCAGCAGCCCAGATCTCTCTTTGGCTCTCCACATGAGACTCCATGCAGCAACCTTTCCTAGTACTATTTTCGTCCTCTGAGTACTGAGTGTCTGGGACTTGAAGTCCTTCATGGTCTCTCCTCCTTGGGGACTTTGCTCCTCACCATGACTTGCAGCTCCCAGCAGTCCTTCCTCATCTGGGGGCTGAGTGTCTGTCTGCAGTTGGCAGCTGCAGCCAATGGCAGCTCTTCGCTCTCCTACTGTAGTCTGGTGGTGGACAGCCTCAGTAACGGCTCTGGCTGTAGCTTCTTATAGTATTTCTCTTCTCTGGTTCCCTTCCCTGGCCCATAGCTCCATACATTAGCAGGGGAAAGGTATATGAAAGCATTTTGGGTGGCCTGTAACCTGCTCTAACTCTCAATGAGTATCTATATCTCCAGGGCAAAATCAAAGAATAACTGTAAAAAAAAAAATCCACCAAATTATCTGTGTGTCC